TCAATGTAATCTTATAGGTGGAATTTGAGGAAGATAGAGTGTACACCGACCTTACCCCTACTTCATGTAGGCAGCTAGATTGTTTCCGAAAGACAATTAAATGTGAAACATATAATATTAAGGGAAAATGGTTTGATATACCCATCAACTTTGTCATTTAGAGCTGATATACCCTTCGTTATGAAATGGCTCATATATATGCTTTACTTGTATACAAATGACTCACATATACCATTTTCCTCTAACAGAAGTGAAAAAAATCATTTTAATTTAATTTTTAATTATTTTTTTGAAAAAAAAAATCATACGGCATATATTTGATCCTCCTCTCACGGTCTCACGTATTTTTTTTTACTTTTTTATTTCAACAATTAATTTAAATTTATTATTTTGATGGTCAAATTTATTTTGTTTCACTAATTTTCTTGTAAAATTTATTATAGATGCCCCATTATTTTATTTTATTTATACAAATACAAAAACTAAATTACAATATAACCGCAAAAAAATAGTTTTAAATTTTTTCTTTACACTAAAAATAATATAAGAAACTCGAATAATGATAATAAAAGAAGTCAAAAAATAATGTTTGTATTAAAAATATTGAAATATACCTTGAACTTTGCTAGAAGGATCATATATATATATCCCTACATGAATTTTTTAAAATTTAAAGTAAAAAAAATAAATTTAAAACTAATTTTTTCACTTCTGTTAGATGAAGGGTATATGTGAGCTCTTTTTGTAACGGTTAGGATAGATTGAGTCATTTGTATAACGTTAAGGGTATATATGAACCACTTTGATACGAGGTGTATATCAGCTCCAAATGACAAAGTTAAGGGTATATCAGACCATTTTCCCTAATATTAATTGCCTTGTTTCACAAATGAATACCAAACAAAACATGAATCACTCCATATTCATCAATTCACAACAAATTACATAAAAATAAATGTCGATAAGACTGCGTACAATAGACCTTGTAGTCTAGCCCCTCCCCGAATTCGGTTGTCACGCCCCGAGCCTACACCCTGGGCGGGACCGGCACCCGGAGACCATTTCTGGCCCCAAGCGAACCCTTGGCCTGGCTTTCTTAACTCAGCGGAAACCTCAACAGAATAATTCAATGCAATGCAATATTACAAAACAATTTAACTTATAAAATATGGCCATAAAGGCAACTCGAATCTCAAAATAGAATATTTACATATATACATAGATAAGAGACTCAAAACTAACTGACTGACTGTCTATGAAGCCTCCATAACACTGAGATGGATGTTGGGATAGACCCCGCAACATCCTAATAAAACAAAAACTAAGAACACAAAATAATTGAGTCCTCCGGAATGCAAGGAGGCTCACCACTGACTCTGGAGTGCTCAGCTGGATCAACGACGTGCAAGATGCTGATCCGGGGTACCTGAATCTGCATCATCAAACGATGCAGGCCAACTGGCATCAGTACATGGAATGTACGAGTATGCGAGCATGGAAAGCTAAACCACAACTTAAGCTTGAAAAGAATATAAGAGAACACTTACCTTGGCTCTGTTCAACTCATGAATAACTGAACTCAATATAAA